GTTTGATAATTGGACTTATACGCTACGCGAAGCCAGTTTGATAATTGGACTTATACGCTACGCGAAGCCGATTTGATAATTGGACTTATACGCTACGCGAAGCTGTAATACAAAATGTATATTTTCTGGGTCTGTCGGCTGACTTAACCCTCTGCAGGGGTACGTGGCAACGGCTGGTTGGTTCTACTAAAAAAGGTGACTAAGTGAAAAGACAAGACTATGACAAAGTGTACTCAACAAGCTAGGCGGCAAGAGCACTTCGACAAGTAACGACATCGGCTAACAATAAGACTTCGGCAAGCAAGGGGCAAGGACATCGGCTAGAAAGGACAACACTTGGCCTAGCTGTGCCATACCTTGGCCTAGATGTGCCCCACCTCGGCCTAGGTCGTACCAATCTAGGAGTAAGGCCATTGGGTCCAAGGGTAACATCTCGGCCTAGATAATGCACATCTCGGCCTCGGCAATGAACACCTCGGCCAGATAGTGACATCTCGGCCAACATGTCAGAGCGAAGGTGGAGTCCACCAAAGTAAATTCCAAGATGGTCTTAGATGCAAGAGGTTCAAAACTGACCTAGGCTCAGGGTGACCTCGGCTAAACCCACACCGAGCAAGGTACAAAACATGCTGTAACACTTAAGCGAACAAGGACAAGACTTGAGATGCAAGCTTAACAAGACAGAATCATATGAATGTAGATGAGTATGGTTAGGACAGCGCGAGGGTTATTACATCCTATCCCCCTTAAAGAAGTTTGGTTCCCAAACTTGAGTTACCTTGATTCGAGAACAATTCCGGGTATCGGACTTTCATTTCTTCTTCCATTTCCCATGTAGCATCCCTGCCGTAATGCTCTTTCCATTCAATTTTTACCATCGGTATTGCCTTGTTTCTCAATTGCCTCGCTTGTCTATCGATAATTCGTATCGGCTTTTCTTCATAGCTTAAGTCTTCATCATCCACAATCCCAAAATGATCAATCACGTGCAGTGGATCCCGAATATACTTCCTCAACATCGAGATATGAAACACATTATGAACTTGACTTAATCTCGGTGGTAAAGCAAGTCTGTAGGCAATCGGGTTAACTTTCTCAAGAATTTCAAACGGCCCATTGTAACGGGGTGCCAATTTACCCTTTTTCCCAAATCTTGAAACTCCTTTCATCGGCGAAATCTTCAGGAATACATGATCCCCAACTTCAAACTCTAACTCCTTTCTTCTCTGGTCAGCGTAACTCTTTTGTCGACTCTGAGCGGTTCTGATTCTCTGTTGGATAAGCTTGATCTTTTCGGTTGTCCTTTGAACTAGATTGGGGCCGATCAAAGCTTTATCTCCTACCTCGGTCCAACATATCGGCGATCTGCACTTTCTTCCATACAAGGCTTCGTATGGCGCCATGCCAATGCTAGTTTGATAACTGTTGTTGTAAGCGAATTCTACTAATGGCAAATGCATTTCCCAACTTCCCTTGAAGTCTAATATACATAATCTAAGCATGTCTTTAAGTGTCTGAATTGTTCTCTCTGTTTGGCCATCGGTCTGGGGATGAAAAGCTGTGCTAAACCTCAACTCGGTCCCCAAAGCCCTTTGTAAACTCTGCCAAAATCTAGAAACAAACTTTGGATCTTGGTCTGACATAATGGACATCGGCACACCATGAAGTCTAACAATCTCATTCATATACAACACAGCAAGTCGATCAGCATTAAACGAAGTCTTAACAGGCAAGAAGTGTGCTGACTTAGTTAATTTGTCGATTATAACCTAGATCGAATCCATTCCTTTCTGTGTCTTCGGCAAACTAATCACAAAGTCCATGGAGATGTGTTCCTATTTCCACTCAGGAATCGGCAAAGGTTGAAGAATTCATGCTGGCCTCTGATGTTCTACTTTCACTTGTTGACAATACAAACACTGGGACACGAACTCGGCTATCTCTCTTTTCATATTTGGCCACCAAAAAGTCTGTTTTACATCTTGATACATCTTGGTGTTCCCTAGATGAACTGTAAATCTGGATCCATGAGAGTTTTGCAAAATCT